TAAGGTTTTCGGTTTATCGTCAAGAAATGATTTGAAGATTAAGACCTAAAAAACTGTCATTTCTACATTTCTGGATGATTTCCTGAATTGATGTAAGCAAAACTTATCGGTGGGCGAAAATTCTTTGTAATTTTGTTTTTTTTTTTTGAAAAAATTACTGCATCACTGCCGTCAAACCGAGTGCTTTTTTGAAGTTTTGGTATATTCAGCAAGCAGCTCTGGCCTTAGAATATCATCTACCAACTCTAAGATCTAAAAAATTGTCATTTCTACATTTCTCAATGATTTCCTGAATTGATGTAAGCATTGATTCTCAAGCTCTAATGTGATTCTAAAATCATCCAAAAAATTAGCTAAAACCTATTTAATACGTGTTTTCAACCTGACATTTTACAGCGCTTTAAAAATGAACAAAAATTCTCTGGTACCGTAAAATGTTGCTCATAATTTTGTTCTACTGTTTGTCTTTTAGTGTTTGCCGCAGACAACTTGTGAGTACAAATTGATCTGCACTACGTCAACTTACTCATAAGAAACTCTGTCTCAAACATTTGATCGAATCCAAATTGAATTTTTTCGCAATTAATTTTTTTTGTAATCAAAATTTTGTAATCTGGAACTGACTTTTTTTCACCTAAACAGTTTTTCTTACATCGGAAGTTGAAATTGAAGATACAAATTACCAGTGAACCGTAACAGATTCGAGACTGCTTATCACCTGGCCTAGATGTAACGCGTTTGGTCTCTGTAGGCTAAGGTCTGGGGATTGAGTCCCGCCAGGAACTTGGTTTTTTTAGTAAGTATGAAATTATTAAAATTTTTCCGGGAAAAAATATGCATTGTCGAAGTTTGCTTATCTGCTTAAATTTTGTCGGCTTAGTTGACACATGTATAAATGTTGAGTGGTGAGCAATTTTTGTGCCTGCAAGTGTTTTTGATGCATTCCAGTAAATTATAAAATTAATAGCCCTGACTTCATTTCGGCTGATGATTTATCGGTTTAGTTGCCTTGATTTGTGTTGCTTCAAGGGCTAAAATTGATTGATAAAAAATGATCTTGTTTGTCTCACAAAAGTTCAAAGATCTAAAACTTATTTGCTCAAAACATTTTTATGTCAACAATTTTCTATGGCATTCTTTCACTTTCCGCTCAATAAGCTGCTGTTTTTTGGTCAATAATCGCATTACCTGCTTATTGGCGTCTCCCTAAAAAATTTATTGACTAAATTAAAGTTTTAGTTGCGTTTCTTGACTTCTTCATTTTTCTTTTACAAGGTAATTTTTTTTCCGATTTTTTTGTCTTATTTTCTGACGCTAGCTTGCAGTGCTGTGATTACGTTGTATCCCGAGTGATACGAAGCTCCGCTTTGCTTTTGTGTCAGCTTTACTGCGTTTATCCTTCCATTTTTTTCAGCCTTTTCAAAAAAAATTTTGCTGAAAAATAATTGAAAATATGCAGTGAAAAATTTGAATAATGGGACAGAAAAACTGGAAAAGAAATACCAGTAGAGATTTTTTACATATAGGTTCATTCGGGTTGCCGTGAGTATAGCGCTTGATTCTCGACATCGAAACAAGGTAAGTCCGAATTTCAGGCTGATCGTATTAACCAACCAACTAACGGACAACTCAAGGACATCAAAAATCATTTTTAAAAAGATAAATGAAGAAATAGTTTTTAAAATCTGTTGAAATAATTTGAACCCAAATTTTATTGCAATTGTTTTTTTCCTGCTCAATCAAAAATCTGTCATAGCTGCAACCTTTTTAATTATACTTTCTAACAACCATTATAACAATCAAATTCTGAATCTGTGGACATTCGTATTTATTGAAAAAAAATTTTATGCTGCTGTTCGGCAAAATTATACCTATTTCAATCAATCAGCGACAAAATTCAATTTTTGATGAATTCAGTTGTTCAAACATTTTATCGAGCTTTTAAATTTGTACTTTTCTTGCTCAGTTTGACTCCGTTTAGTTGTTTTGTACGCCGTTCAGACTAAAAAGCGGATTTGATTTCGAATGGAGAACACAGTTTACAGTTTTTTCAACCAAAATTAAAAATTAGTTTTGAACAAAAATCTTTCAAACGAATGCATTTTATAAAACGTTACTGCTTTACAAACCAAAATTTAAACATTCTTTTAATAAAAATGATTTGCATCAAATAGTTTCTTAAATATGATTATGCAAAGTATCCTTAATTAGTGGTTCAGATGTTTCTTGCGATTTTTATCATTCTGAAATTTTCGTTCTGGAGAAAACAGCTTAAAAAATTTTCTGCCTATAGAAAGCAACCATGTGCATTTGGATTTTGCATACACTTGTGCATGTTATCTTGACTGCTTCATTAATTACTTTTTCAAATTTTTGCTTTACAGTTGTCTAGAACCCGTTTTAGAACAACAAAATATCCGTGAAAGATTGGTATTAGTAGAGCAGTGTCTGTCATTGCTTAACCACATTTCCCCAAATGGTTTTCTTGTGGTCGCAAATAACCGGAGCAAGACAAATTTTTAGAACGTATTGGTCTCCATCTCCCAACTCTTCACGCTTGCGATAAGCAAGCGTTATCAAAGTGGAATATAGACTTTTTTGTTTAACAAAATCACTTGAATCACTAGACTTCATTCTGTTTGTGTGGATCTGCTTATGTTTGGTCGGCTCAGTTGCCCTGTTACAGATTTTTGCTGGGCTGAAATAATTTTTATTGTAATTGAAAGAGTTTTGATTTGTTACTGTAATTTGTAAACTTACTAAGTTTGTATTTTTTCTTCGTATTTTTCGCTGGTTTATTCTGCTTCAATTGTTTTTGTTTATGTTTTATCGAGTAAGCGACCTAGTTAAGCGCTGTTTTAAAGGGAAAATATGTTTTTACGCTATTGTGTGTTTCCGGAGGGGGAGCGTAAAGTTTATATTTTCGGAACTTTCAGAAGTTTATCAATTGAAAACAATTTTGCTCAGCGGGAGTCTAACTAACTTTTGCCGTCTTAGTTGCCGATCAATTTTGTTTCTGAAAACTTATTAAACGCCAGTTATTGTGTTTTTAAATTGACCATCATTCCAGAAAAACTTCTGAAAATTTTGTAGTTATGGGTTTTTCGAAGTGTTCTAATTGTTCTTCGACTTAGTGGCTTTTGTTTCACGTTCTGTCTGCTAGCTTGCAATGCTATGGGCGTGTGGTACCGCAAGTGGTGCGAAGCTCCGCTTCGCTTCTGTGTCAAAACTTGTTTCATCACTTAGAACTGATTCCCTGAGTTCAGTTATCGACCTCAAAAGATCACTCTCAATTTTTTGACTACGTATAATTTCTCATTGTTCAAATGATTTTTTCTTGATTTTGTGCCAAGATTTATGCAAAATCTGGTAATCATACGAGCTGTTGCCTAATTGTCTCAGATTACCTGCCTCGGAGCAGATTTTCATGTAATTACCCTCTAAATCAAAAATTGACAGCACATCAAGTCATCAAAAAAAAAACTTCAAACAAATCATTTGGAGGAAGCCGAAAACAAACGCAGTTCTTTAGTAGTCCACCTAAATATTAGTTTAAGAATGTGAAAGAACAACATCACTACAAACCGCACCAGTCTCGGTAAGACAATTGCCTACTTCTTTGTGATCAACGCCATCGCCAAGCCGGAATAAAAATGTGGAGAGACACCGATTCGCGATCTGCAAGCCGGAACAAATGTCGGAGAAGAAATCAACTGAAACTCAAAACTTTTAACTTTGTTTATTGTTATTGAAATTGCATTACTGTATATGAATTTTTTCCAGGAGGGAAAATGTGTCGGAAGTGAAGTGACCACCAAGTATTAAAGCTAAAATTTTAAACGTAAGATGTTATCGTCGCCACTGTTAATTTGATTCTATTAAGACAAACACCTGCCGATTGTATCTATGTTATTGACAGTGTGAACGGTGCTAATACTAACACTCTCTCGACTGCTAATGAAAGATTATAGTTGCTCTTTTTTCTATTGATACTTCTATGTACCTATTCACTTTACTATTATAAATTCAACATTTTTGTTCTGACCATTCGAAAAATATGGAGAAGTTTCTTATTCGGGTGTGTTTTTGTTTTTGTTTCCATGCAAGAATTTTCCCAGTGTTGAGAAAAACTTGTTTAAAACATTGAGTTTTAGTCCAATTTCGAGCAAGTAAAGCGATTGAGTAAAGTTCGTTTTTTAAAACTATTGGTCATTAAGGCTAAAAAACTTTATTTTATCATTTAAAAAATTTTTGGAAGCTTCATTAAGCGCTTTCTCGGCCATAAAACGTTTCATACAAATTTAAAATATGAATTTTTTTGAGATAATTGTGTTTTTGGCCTGATTCATTAACTTTCTACTCAATTGCGTAGTTCTATAATCACACCACACAGAAGAAATGACGCTAAGTTTAAGGTTAAAAATTTTTGTATTTTCCTACGATTGTGGTCGGAACTTTCTGTGCTACTTGCACAGCAACCAGATATCCTTGTTTTAGTTTGGTTTCAGTCAAGGTTTCATGAGATATCACACCCCTGTGAAAATTTTCCGTAAAGTTGAGTTTGTTTTGTTAATTTTTAATTACGCTTCGGGTTGGCTTATTATAACCCAACTTTGAAAGCATTTCAAATTTAATTTGGGTCTAGTAATTGATCCAAAGATCATTTTGAGCAAGGCATTGCATGTTGTGAAAAATTTTCAACAAAACCTCAAAAATGTCTATTTTTTTTTTTTATTTTATCATATCTTTTTTCTTTCCTTAAAAAGGGGTTTCAGGGATTCTTAAAGAGGATCCTTAAAGACCCTTAAAGATTTAAAAAACTATCAGGGATTTGCCCTGATACGAGCTGTCTTGTTCAATTAATATTTTTTACTCAAACGCTTAAATTTCTCAAGTGCTTAAAAAGACAAACACCTACGTCAATTAATGCCGAGCCGATAAAAAGGTTCTTGCTGATATGTTAACTTCAAAAAAAGAATTTTTGTTTCTGTGATCGCCAATAAATGAATTCTGCATCAAGTTTTTTTCTTGATTTGTTTATTATTTGAATGGTTTCTTGGCCGTCTTTTTTGCAACTGGCTTCTTTTTCTTTTCCTTCTTTGCGTTCAAATTGACGTCCAATGGATTCTGTACTTTGGAGGCAGCAGAGTTTTTCTTTTTCTTCTTTGTGTTCGAATTGGCTTCCATTGGTTTCGGGACTTTTGAGGCGGAAGAATTTTTCTTTTTCTTCTGAACGCTTCCATTCTTTTTCGGCTTCTTCGGTTGAATTTTTTCACCTCGTTCTGGAGAAACTATCGGTAAAACTGCTGGAGTGAACACCGGATCAACCATTGGAACAATCGCTGCAGCATCGTTGTCGCTATAAACTGCAATTGGAGTTGTCGGCGGAGGCGGCAACAAGTCGGCCTCTTGCTCCTCGTCCATCTCCGAAATGTGTTCGTTTATCTTCGGATGCCGATTGCACTCGGCAACAAGCTCAATTTCGCTTTCAAAAGTAATCACGTGACTTAACACGCTTGACATTATCTCCGGATCCTGCACACTATTCTCAGCTCCTCGTAACGGGTTGCCGACAACTGACGAACTTCTTATCATGAAAGTTGACGGGTTAAGACGCTTCGTTGTCGTAACTTCAGAGATCGTAGCTGCGCGAGCTAATTCAAACCCGCCCGCTCGGAAATCCATATGAGGCCCTTTTATCATCTGCTCTACATTTTCTTTGGTCAGATCTCTGACATTTTCAAACATTTTTGGTCCTAAGTCAACAATTTCCCGTTTTAAGCTGACATTCGTGTTGTTAGATATTCGAGACAGTTTCTTCACTCGGTTTTCAACCATCGGTGGAGTTCGGATCTCGGTGATCAAAATACTTTCGCATCTTGCGACATTCTTCTCTGATGGGATATAAAATTGTTTCACTTGTTTTTGACGCTTCCATATGCAGCAGAAGTAACACAACAGAAGAAGAAGAAATAACAGAATTATTGCTAGTGCAATAAGTACGTAGCACCAATAGCACGTATCATCTTCGTTTTCCTCGTCTTTTGCTTGCTCGAGAGAAGTCTAAAAATCAAACACTAATTTTTCCCAGGTCGGGGTAATCAACTTTAATTTTGGCTGCCTCGACCCAAAACAGGTAGGTTTTGAAAAAACAGAACCAACATACCCCCTCTTTCCTCCCCAATCAGCTTAGGGATAAGATATTTACTTGGTTCTGAGTTGGAGTTGTCAGCCAATCAGAATCGAGTATTTTGAATGATGTGCAAATATTTAATCCAAATTAAACGCTAAGTTAGAGAATCTTAATTTAGTTTGGGGAGAGTGTTAAGGCTTCATGATTGAAATTAAGGGGTCTAGGACAACAAGGCGACGGGACTTGACGCCGAAGGTACTTCAGGCCGAAATTTAAACATTACAATCACCTAAAAACACTAATTTTTATATCAATAAAAGGTTTATTTTTCAAAAATTAGGCAAGTTTAGTTCATCTTAAGCGTTCTTAATAACAATGCGCCACTTAAGAGTGGCATCAGATTTTTAGATCAGCCGGATTTTGAAATTCATAAATTATAAAATTATACACATGAAAAAGCCCAGTAACAATGTTATAATTTTTGAATTTTCCTGTACATCAATTAGAGGCGCAAAAATTATGAAAAAGCCAATAACTTGTTAAGCAAGCATGAAATTGAGAAACTTTTCGAAACAGTTTTCAAAATAATCATATTTTTTTTAATTTTTTGACAAAATGTTGGGCTTGAAGTCCCTAATTACACGTTTCGGCTTGAAGTCCCGTCGACTTGATATCCGGCACCCAAATTAAGAACCGCTCTAAAAGCGATATAGCTTTTGGACACCATTGCTCATTTGGGAGTGCGGTCTGTATTTAGACAACCGCGTATTCAGACACTATTAACCCATCAGAATCGAGACAAGGATGAAATGAAATTCATTTCTTCCTTTTCTCGATTCTGATTGGTTAATACAGTGTCTGAATACGCGGTTGTCTAAATAGTGCTACGTAAGGGGGCGTTCAACAGTGCCGAAGTACAACAGTGCCAAAAATGAAAAAGTGTTCAACAGTGCCGAAAATTGATGATTTTCGGCACTGTTGAACAATAAAATTATTTTCTGCACTCTTGTACTTCGGCACTGTTGAACACCCCTCTAAAGGCATCACCACAGTGCCGAAGTACAACAGTGCCAAAAATAAATTAATTGTTCAGCAGTGCCGAAAATCATCAGTTTTCGGCACTGTTGAACACTTTTTTCATTTTTGGCACTGTTGTACTGCCCCCTACGTAACCGCTGATTTGTTAGCATATTCTAACCTTAGCCAACCGTTCAATAATTCAATTCATCTGTTAACTTGATCTAAAATAATTTAACTGACTCGATTATGTAAAAAACATATTGGCCGTTTTTGACAGATAGTTGAACTTTAATTTAGTTTAAATTGTAAGATTCATGTCATTTTTGTAGATTGCTTAAGTCAAGGCGTGAGAAAATTTAATTTAGTTTTGAAGACAAAATGATACTTTCCTCCAGCTGCATGATAGACTTAAAGCAATCCTACTTCACTTTTGGTAAAATATTGGATTTCGATATAGAATATTTCAGAAAATAGGTTTTTCCCAAAATAATTAAAAAGAAAACATCATACTAATAATTGGATGAATTTGTTTTTGGGTTAAAAAATTATAAAAATTCATGTCAATTTTGTTACCCGACAAACTGATTCATCCAATTGAGAGTATGATGTTTCTTTTGGAGCCTTTTTATTGAGAATCAATACATAAACAAAATTGGATTTGGATTGCTTTAAGCCTACAATGCAGCTGGAGGGATGTATTAATTTGAACTTGTCTTCGATTTTAAATTGATATTTGCTACGTCGCTGAAGGTTGGGCTAAATGACTAGCTTTTGAAATAGTTTAGAGCACGCTAAGCTGCTCATTTTTGATGTTTTTTTTTTGTGATCGGCATCTAATTGGTTTGAATTCATTTTAAAATTTTTGAGATAGTTTAACATGCTTTTTGAAAATTACCAGTTACTAGTTGTGGCAGAAGTGTTTGAAAGAACAGCTGACCTTTAAGTAGTAAGTAAGCAGCGAACGGCTAAACGTAATTCTCATCTATTTTCATAAATGTTGTGGTTCTTTTTCACACGATTTCTTGTCACAATTTATTATATAACATTTTGAGTACAATCGAGCATGTTTTCGAATTGAGCTTTTTTATTTAATTGCGATTGGTCTCGGGATAATTTTCTCCAAAATTCAACGGAATCAAATTAACACCATTAACATTTTTTCACGAAAAAAATGCTGCTCAGCTCTCTACTTTTACTAATGGGTCATTAGTACACCATTTCAAAGCCTATTGAAATATTAGTGACATCTTTTGAACAAACCGTATTTTCAATTGAAAGTTAGGAAATAATGCATGCTCAAATGTGTGCTCAAGTTCTTTTGAAATCGTGAAATTCCAACTAAATCACGCTCAAATTGGCCAAGTATAAAAAAAACTCAAGCATCGACAAACGACGTTTAATCGAATCGCATTCGCGTGGAGTAGATTATATAGCTTTGGCCGACTGTTTGGGAAAAAATCGGAACACTGCGTGCGACGTGGGAGATATGAAATTTTAGCAAAAGGTCGATCATACAATCGAAAAATTGAGGAAGAAATTATTTTGGGCACTATTGACATTCTGGAGGGCAATCCACTGATGACATTGCAACAAGTGAATTTTGCGTTAAGAGCGCGCTTACCCCAAATCCCCATTTTTACCCAACAAGCACTATCAAAAGCATTAGAAGGGAGAATGATAAATTTCAAGATTGCGAGAGATTGTCCTGCAGAGTGTAACAGCGAAGAAAATATAGAAAATCATTACAACTATGCATTGTGGATCATGAGCCCTGACATCATAGGTTCGCGAAAAAATTTTGTGGATGAATTTGGTGTAAATATCCACATGCGGCGTACTCAAGGTAGAAAAGTCAGTGCCCAGAAAGGACCCAATATTACAATTTGTTGCGCAGTTTCCACGGAAGGCTTTTTGCATTATCAGGTAATTCAAGGTGGAATGAAGAAGGAAATTTTCAAAAAATTTTCTCGAAGTTCTATGTGGAAACATTATCCTTGACGAAGGGAACGATGCTGATGGATTTTGCATTTTTGACAATTCTCCAGGGCACAGAGGAATCGAAGATAAGAACCTTAGTGGAATATTCTCTCTGAAGAGGCTCCCAAAGTACATCCCATTTCTAACTTTGGTTGAAGCTGCAATTTCGTGCTGGAAAGCGGCTATGAAACGAAAAATGCAAGAAGAGATGGATTTGTTCATCAACTCTGATGCCTTGAAGGAGACAGTACAAACACTTCAGGATTACCGTTTCCGTCATGTCAAATCTTTTGTGGAACGAACAAGTTGTGAGGTTACCCCACAGAAATTTGTTGGTTGGTACAATCATACGATGACATATATCCCGGATTGTTTGGCCAGGAATAAAATAGATGGATGAACAATAGATGTTGCATAAAAACCGTTGATTCTGTATATTATATTCTGTTTCTATTCATTTGAAATAACATGTTTTCAATTGAAGTCACTTGTGAGCACTCCATCGTTTTTCTATTCTTTAGAACTTACGAAATTAATGTTCTTTCAAAAAAAGTTACCTATAATTCTTTTCAAATTACCGATTGTTCAATAGGCTTTGAAAAGGTGTAATAGGAGAAAACTGAGCAGCATTTTTTTCGTGGATAAATGTTAATTGTGTTAATTTAATTCCGTTGAATTTTGGAGAAAAACATCCCGAGACCAAAAATAGAAACCAGTAATATTAAATAGATAATGAACTCCTGTGCACGCTGAAACAACTGAATGGTAATTTTTAATTCTTTTGCACTAAAAGCCATCGCTCTCAGCTATGTATAAAACAATCAATCAAGGTCACGCTACCAGTATAACTGTATTGCAAAGCATCTATACATATCTATACATATAAATACAAAAATTAGATATTTAAGATTAGTACTTTTTAGGTTTGCCATTATCAGCCCAGATTACCTTCCCCCTTTTTCAAATAGAGTTGTAGAGTCCCCTTGGGACTTGAGTTTTTAGTCCATTTGGGCGTAAGTTTCATAGTCCCCGTGGGACCGACATTTTCTCTTCAAGTTTTTCCTTCCTCGGGAAATTTTATTGGTTCTTTTTTTTCGTTTCGCCCGTTTTCTGTGTTCATTTCTTGTTTCTCGATGTCTTCCTCCTTCTGATGTTTTCCTTGTTCCCCGATTGTGTTCAATTCTTATTTCTGCTGGCTTTGGCTTTTTGTTGTTTTACCCTCGTCGCTGTCATGTACTTTGTTTTTGTTTTCAATTTTTATCTCTGGGAGTATATCTAGATTCGGGCTGTTAAGCGGCGATAGCAAATCGACTACTTTAATTTTTTTTTGGTTGTTTTGGTTTTATTGCTTCGAGGAACTTCACACATTCCTAAAACTACGGCGAGTTCTTGTTAAAACCATTTCATGGATAAGATTCTTGATCTTTGCATTGTTTACCTCTGGTTTCCTTTCTGGTGATTCGATGGCGAATTTCTTCTGTGTCTTCTCTTCTTTTTTTTCTATTGCAGTGATTGGGACGGGGTGTCCGGTCGCTCCCTCGTGGGCAGATTGAGGACTTCCTAGTGACGCCCGGGGCGCTTCTATCGAGACTTTTGGTATCTGTGCCGGTGTTTTTTAGTGTTCACTCGTTTCGGGATGGGGTTTCCGGTCGCTCCCTCGTGGGCAGATTGGCGACTTCGTAAAGACTTCCGTGTCGCTTCTATCGAAGTTTTTGGTATCTGTGGCGGTGTTTTTTAGTGTTCACTTGTTTCGGGACGGGCTACAACGAAATCTTCAACATACTCGTCTGGAAGATTTAAAAAATCCTACCGGATTCTGCGACATATAGTTTCTTAATCTTATTTCTGTTCCCGCCAGATGTTTGATATCAATTTGAAAAAAAAAATCGGTCAATCCATATTGTGAACCCACTTTGGCTAGTTTTTGATCTTTAAATTGCGTTGAAAGTTTTGATTAAAGAGCGATGGTCTGGTATGTCGGTAAAATTCTCTCGTGTGTATAATAATTGAATTGTTCAAGGGCCCATACGGACCTAATAGTTCAAGTTCACTTACAGAATATATTTCTTTGAATGAATTGAAAACCGTGATGCGTAGGCGATTGCTACCCAGCCCCATCAGTGAAGTTTTTTAACGCTGCCCGTTAACCAAATGCTGAAGCATCGTAGAACACGCGAGTCTCGAGGGTTTGATTGAACTTTTTTTTTCTTCTAGATAAAAGCTGCAGTACTTGTTTGAAAGCGTTTGTGTTCTGTTTTTCAATCCATTGTTTTGTGTTTATCTGTGTTTTTTGGATGCTATTTGTGCTAAGTTCGAGGCATTAGGTGTTAGGTGATGTATAAGACCCAGGAGTTTTTTGGTGGTTGAATGTTTTAGGCCATAATAACTTTTCTCTGGCTTCTGTTTTTCTAATCAGTGAACTAGTGCTCTCACTATTTATTTTCTAGCAAAGCCTTTTCAATTGCTTGCACGTAAATTTACTTTATCCATAGAAACACTAATAAAAGTTTTCCTCTAATTTTTGTAGGACTGTTTCAGATTGTGCTTCCTTGTGGAGTTCGCTTAATTCTTTTGTTACTATCAGTATTTTTGCAGTTCGCGAGTGTTAAATCTATTGCATTTGAAATTCTGTCGGATTATCCGTTAACCCGTCGAATCTTCTTTGACATTAGTATGTTCCGGTGGAATTTACACTGGACACGTTTTTAGATCCAAAGTGTCTGAATGAATCTGTTAATTTTTAAAATATTTTTTGAGTGTAGCGCCCTTTAACTATGAATGTGGCTTATTGGATAGCACACCAACTGGATTTTACTGCAATGATCAATCTTCCTTTCGGAATTATCTACTCGCCGTTATAGCAGCCAGATTTCTAGCCACATCTGGCGGGATATATTTGAAAAAACTGAGTTGTCGTTTGATTTTTTCTGTTGTGCGTTAGATTTCTTGTTCAGCTTATTTTTTTTGATTTCCTACTTAGTTTTGATTTCGTTGTCACTGCGCATAAAAGTTTTCTCGTGGGAATTTTTATCGGCCTCTTGCTTGTCCACGTCCTCACTGATTATTTTTGCTAAATGAATTATCCTCCTCGTCCACGCGGCTGAAAACAACTAATGGGTTCGTGTTTAATTGGTAAGTAGGTCGATATTCCAAACAGGCTTGTTTTCATCGTTTTTCTTCGCTTGATCTTTTTCTCTCTCTTGATTGCATTTTCACATGCATAATGTGGGGATCAATCTGCTGTGAAAGACGTTTGCCCCCTTCTTTGTAAAAAATGCAAAAAAAAATTAGCTGCGTACCCTGGCATCTGCTTATACCAACCGAATGAGCTACACAGAACTCCCTTTTTCATTGCTTCAATAACTTTTCCCCCACTTTGCGTTTCTCCTGGTTCGGTTGTCACGATTACTGTTTTTTACTTCAGTTTTTCCCATGATTTCAATTCATAAACTGATCCAGTTGCTTCTAGTAGGGTAGCTTCGTCTCGTAGTAGGTTTTGTACTTCATTTCTGTTATTCGCAAATGTAGTCATCTTTATGATAGCTGCCCACTTAGATCATTCCAATGGTGGCTCTGCTGACGTCTTTTGCAAGAATGGTGGTCTGCTCAGTGGGTTTTCGTATCCTGTTGGCTGTGCATGTTGTACGGTGTGTTATGAGTAAACTAGACTCGTTAATCCAAACGGATTGGTAAGTCGAATAAAATAAATAGCAAAACTTATGTATTAAAATAAGTAGTTATATGTTTTAACTAATACTTATCTTAGTTTTTTGGTCTCTGGATGTTTTTATCCAAAGTTCAACTGAATGAATTTAACTCACATTTAACATTTACCAACGAAATGTAATCAAAATGCATGCTGTTCAGGTCTCTGCTAGTACTAATGACCCTGTCATACGGTTAGGTATGAGTAAACTATATAATGTAATCTGGTTTGGTAACCCAACAAAAAATGAACTCTTGCGTACGCAGAATCAACTGATTCGGAAATTTTTATTGTTCTGAACTGACAGCCATCGCTCTCAGCTATGTATACCAATCAATCAATGTTACACGACCAGTATAACTCTATTATCAAACATATATGCTTTAAACCTTGCATTAGACCCGGTTGCTTTTTGATATTTTTACAAACTCGCCAAAACCAACCAGGTTAGCTGTAGTTGCAGCATTGGACGTTGTAGTAGCAGTTGTTGTAGTTACCGTTGTTGGATCAGATGTTGTTGTCATATTTGTTGTAGTCGTAGGTTCTGGCGTTGTTGTTGTAGGTTCTGGCGTTGTTGTTGTAGGTTCTGGCGTTGTTGTCGTATTCGTTGTAGGCTCTGGCGTTGTTGTCGTATTCGTTGTAGGCTCTGGCGTTGTTGTCGTATTCGTTGTAGGCTCTGGCGTTGTTGTTGTAGTCGTCGTAGGCTCTGGCGTTGTTGTCGTAGTTGTTGTCGTCGTTGTTGTCGTAGTGGTTGTAGTTATTTGTATCTCCTCCACAAAGTAGTCGAAGGAGAATGGCGGTACATTTGACTGTGCCTGAAGTGTGAACGACCTCGACTCCACAATACGATTACTGACCAACTCAGTTACGCCGCTGCTTCTTTTTGCTCCTGAAAAGTAGTCGAAAGTTTGTTTTTCACCCCCATAAAATGGATAAAATTAAAAGCACAGGTGTTTAATTAAAAGCACTCTCCTTAATAAAATTAAAAGCACACCCCCTTAATAAAATTAAAAGCGCACCCCCTTAATAAAATGGATAAAACTAAGAGCACAGGTGTTTAATTTCCAGTTCAACATCTGTTATAGTGCCTTTAGGCCCACTGATCATTGTCTCCAGAATCCGCTGAGAACTCTGCTATCAATCATAAAATGTTTTCGTAAAAAGTGTCAAAATCAGGCGACAGAAGAAAAAAATGAAGAAAAAAAACAGCAGCCGTTAAATTGCATTAAGTTGCCCAAGCCACTAACATTGTGATTATTGTGAGAAGTAGCTACGTGCTGCTAAAGAAAACACTAAACATCTACTTGCTCACATTTTGTGCTTTAATTGCCGGACACCGCTCGCCTTTTCATTTTCTGTCAGCTCAATTGCAACAGCACAGACTTTGCTGATTGTTTAATAAGTTTTTATTTGATTTAAAAGTCAGTTTGAAATACTCTTTTAATAGTGCAGACAGTTGGAGTCCGAGAAATTTAGCTAAAACTGTTTTGTGAATGTTTCCTACAATTTTTGGTCTACAACTTTCGAACAAAATTTTTGAGACTTTTAGATGAAAGCAATGAAACTATTTTCACATCAATTTACCTGAATTATAATTTTGTATGATTGACAAAAATTGTTTTAAAAAAAATCGAACTTTTTCAATTTTCAAAAAAGAGTCTTTACCCAAAGGTGAATTTATTGAAAGAGTGTATTTCATGAAAAAACTACCATTATAATAGTTTTTGAGCTCTTACCGTTAACCCGCTATTGTATTCGTGTTTTTAAGAACTGCATATAATAAGTTGGCTGGTAATACTTAAGTTAATTCTGATACAAACTTCTGTTTGTTTGTGGTTGCAGAATGGTCAACACAAATGCATCCCATCCGTCTTCCTCAATTATGTACTCCAGACTAGGGTCATTTGAGGTCAAATTTAGGTGCAGCCTAGTTGCTCCCACCGGGTCCTATGCGGCTCTTTTCACGCAGTTATCAATAGAGTTACCAAGCTTGCCTATTACAATTTAGTACATGTTTTAATAAATCTAACATGTTTAAAAACAAGTTTTCGAGCCTTCATGTTTAAAAACAAGTTTTCGAGCCTTTGTGTTGGTCATTTTTTCCACAGAAATATGCAGTGCTATGCTTAATGAATGAAAATGCTCCAATTGCTCTAATTTTTTTAGTGCTATCAAGCTTCTTTTTTGTAGTCCAAAACGTGATCAAACTTCTCCGAAAATTTAGAGGGTAATTTTAGAAATTGAGTTAGGACCGATGGGTATAACTCATAGAGTAATTTCGGATAGGGTACACCGTCTGCTCGTCACGCTATCTTATTTTCGGCCGGATAGATTCGTGCAACTTCTTAGTCTAATACCGATCCTAATCTTACTCTTATACTATCTAGTCTCAGGTTGTTTAACTAGTCTCTGCTAGGCTCAATAGATCTAGGGTATACTGGTTTATTGCGGCTGCTGAAGTGCTCGGGAGAGTTCAACTAATTTCTAAGTTAGATTCAAATCTCTCTGGTGCTGAAATTACAAGTAATTTCAGCACTTACAAATAAGTGGGTTGTTAGTTATATGGATCATGATTGGTTAATATTAAATACTTTACATTGGTAAAATATCTAATTTATCCAATCATAAAATGTAGTTTAGATCAGGTTCCACCCATCCGGGTTTTACAGAGTTTTTTAGAATAGTTCTTCTGCAATTCGAAGGATGGATGATGGACGTTGGTATTTGGCGAACATCATAATTTTCTTCCGTTTCCTCTTTGTTAGAGAAGTTCCAGGAAGCTGGAATTAGAGACATAAGACGTTGTGTCTTCTAGTGACAACGACTAAGTCTCTGCAACAAACTCAAATCTGATTTCAGAATGGTTGGCTATGTCAGGTTTTTCTGTTCTTCGTGGAGAACTTCTTTTGTGTCTGATCTAGTTTGGGAATGGCGTGGAGATTGTGCGTGGAGGGGATGCCTGGTTACTCGGATCTGTACGTATACTTGAACATCGAGGTGGTCATTGGTCTAGTTCAATGAAGTCCTTTTCTGCGAAGTCAAGTCGTACTCTAAATCCTTTGAGTTGTGATTGTGAGTGGCATATCGATTGTAGTTGGCCATTCTCTCTCGAGTGTAGTGGGGTCGTTTTGTCTTTAGATGTTCGTTCTTGGTGTTGTATTCTGATCTATGTATTGCATAATGTAATTTACATTTTATAAAACTTTTATTAGTTTAATATTTTTTAATTATGATTTTAGTTAGTTGTTTTCACAAAAGCTTTTTGTTTTAGTTCGGTTATTTTGAAGAGTTACTCACCCTTGAGTAGCTCTTATTAAAAATAGAGGTGTGGTCACAAAGCGTGGACGTAGCGCGGTGGGTTAGGCCGGCTATAGAGCATGCTCAGGACGTCCTTCCTGGTGGGTTAGGCCAGGAGTGGGAGTATGATTTCATGCGGTTTTTGTGAGGGGTCCTGTTATGTGACAACGTTTTATGTTGAGTTGTTGTGGTTTTTTCTTATGTCTTGTTGGTTGTGTCCTTTTTTCAAAAATCAAATTGTTTGTGGTATGGGTTCGTCTTTCGACTTTTTTGTGTTTTATTATTTCTTTCTGAGACTTTATAATAGTCTTCAAAAGAATAATTTATCCAGTTTTAAACTGGGTTAATCCGGTTTGGGTACCGTTAGTTTCCTTTTCTTAGTCATGCTGTTATTCTATGATTTGTGGTATTTAGTAAGCTGCGTTGGTTAGTTTTGTTTAGTATATGATTCCTTTCCAACCGGGTTAAAGGAAAGTTTAAAACGTGTTATCGTGTGTTAGAGTTGTTGAGTGTTAAAACTTGAAACTGAAATTCATTATTTTAAACAATTCTTCGTGGGCGAGCTGTGCGAGTGTGGATAGAATTTCTGTGCGAATAAATGAGAATATCAAAAGGTTAGTTCTGCATTTGCGTTTTATCAATTTACTACATAGAATTTTGAATTTTACTGCTTTTTATTGGGAAAAATTAAGTTACAAATTTTCATCATTATTAGATTTACTGCTTGGGGGAAAAATTTAGAAATGAATTTACTGCATTGGTATTAAATTGATTAAATTTATGAGTGTAAAAGATTAATAGAATTTTGAAATTGTTTGAAGAAGTTTTCAATTTTTTATTTTTCTTTTGTGAATTTTTTAGATGATTGTCGGATGAAGGCTAAAAGTTTAAAGAAAACATGGATAAAGAATGGTGAGTTTCTAATATTGTAATTAGTTAGTAATATTCATTTAATTCATACTTACCTGTTAGTTGTCGGGGAAAAAACCGTGGGGGAAGATGTCGTGGATGAGATCGGAAGTTGTTAGTAGTTTAGCTAAGATGCGGATGATATTTTTAGTCTGAAGCAGTGGCCAAAGCAATTGAAGTGCCTTAATGGTGGTTAGTTCTTCAGTGCCAACTGCAAACTCGTAAGGTGTGTTTTGGATTAGATTATATAATTTGTGATTGAATTTAGTGTTGTGGATGAATTCTAAAATTGGGATTTCTATAGGTTGTACAAACTCGTGCGGGATAAGGAAGGGTCGGGATTCTTCGGCGTTGAAGGTCTTGGTGATGGGACAAAAGATGTACATTTGGGTTATGGGATCATAATTGCGAAGAATACCATGAAGGTTAGTATCTTTAATGCAATATGTGAAATTTAGGAAAAATGGTGAAGTGTATTTGGAATTAATGAATTGAAAACGACGGTGTGGTTGTCTAGAGGGTGTGTGTAGGTCAAAGTGATTTTGGATGAAGCGATAATAACTATATGTGTGGGTTTGTTTAGTGCGCAACATAATATCGTGTGAGCAGTGTAAATCTCTTTCGTGTGGTGCAAGGAAATGAAAGGTTAGTGAAAATATTTGGAACCGTTCTTTAAAACTTTCGTATGCTTGTGTGTCTGTTAGTGCTTCTGAAATAATGTGGTCAAACTTTCGATCGAAGATGTTTAATGTAAATACATATGGTGTTGTGATGAAAAATTTCTCGGTGATTTGTGGATTAGCGAAGCGATCGTCGTCTAAGAATTGATCTTGGTTAGCTCTGATGATGTTATGATCATAGTATTCGAGTGTATATTCATTAGCTCTAGGTGCAGTGTGTGTTTTTAGTGATTTTTTATATCCAACGTAAGTAAATTGTCTAGCGTTTAGTGGTGTAGTGAGTCGATATAGCATGTCCTTATTTCGCTCTATATCGATGTGAGTGCTAGATAAAGGTAAGCAAAGGGGATTAGTAAAATAATAATATGAGGTCCAAGAGAGAGTGGGCATTAAAACGTATTCGTCTACAAAGCTGCGTGTTTCGTTAGTGTCGTGAGGGGTGTTTAAGGTGTATTGTGGGAATGAGGGTAAGGTGATAGCTAAAAATTCTTTGGTGTTAGTGTGCTTGGGATGGTTGATGTATTCACGGGCTGTTCCTGGTTTTGCTGGGAAAGGATGGTTGGGGAACTTTCTTTTAAAAGTGCGGTAAGCTCTATTAGTGTTGAGTGAAGATTCAGTAGATGTGGATGATGGTGCTAATGATTCAGTATAATTTGAAGAGGGTGTAGGGGTAGGGGGGTTGGATGAATCTATTGTGGAAGAGATTTGGTTTATGGTTGGGGTGTGAAGGTGGTAGGGTTGTTGTTGGAGGGTTATAAAATTATCTAGCTCTGGGGAGATTCGGGGGGTGTCTGGAGAATTAGATGATTGGTCAGAATGAAATGAGGAGTAGGTTGGGGTAATTTGGGAAGCATAAGAGGGTGTAGAATTGATTGGGTCAGGGTTATTTGATAATATAGGTTGAAAAGGGGGTTGAGAAAAATTTGAAGAGTTATGAAAATTATTGGATGGGGATGGTTCTGAATCGGCGAATTCATCGGGGGTTTCAATATTCGGGTTATTGAGTTGTGAGGTGGAGTATAAAACTGAGATGTGTGAATTAGTGTCGGAATTCATGCCTGATGTTACATTACTAGATGGGAAATCGGGTGGCGGAAAAGCAAAAAGTGGTATTATTGGGATTGGAGAGGTGAGGTTGGTTGGGTGGGAATTTGATCGGTGTAGGGATCCAAGTTGTCGGCTCATCGTGGGCTAAAAAAATGATTATTTTGAGACTGAAAAGCGGTGGTATGGGGTTGTTCAATAATTTGTTCATAAGTATTATCATCCTGTGACTGGTGTGTCATTATATGTTGGATGGGACTTTGTGATGTGGTTGGTCGAAAATTTGGATTGTGTGATTGCTAAATTTCGAAAATTTCGTGGGACTAGGGATAGTGGATGGTTATGTGGTAGGGGTGGCAACTGTGGTGCCGTTGGCGTTGTGTCTACATTGTTATGTTCTTCGTCGTATGTGTTTTGTCGTGTTGCTATTTTTGTGTTGTATTCTTTTATTTGTGCGTCTAAAAGAATTTTGTTTATAGATGTAGAAAAGATTCCAAAAAATCCTGCAAAGAGTATGCGTGCTACGCTTGCTTGTCTATTTACTTGTGTGTGTATAGCACATGTGTTGTAAATTCCTTTTAAAAGTGAGAAAAGAAATCCAATAAAGTTAAACATTGCGTATAAAATAGTCAATTTTTCTAAGATGTAGTAGGGCCATCCTAGAAAATCAAGAATTTCATTTTTGAGTGTAACAAAGCTAAAAATGTTAATTGGTGATATATCTTGGGGACGGTATTTTTCACCGTTTAGATATATATAATCTTTAATATCTTTAAAATATCCGCTATAGTCTTGCGTGTAGATATCGGCAAATCCTGCGGTTTCTGCAAGTTTGCGTAAGTTTTGGTCTATTGATTGTCTTTGTATAGTGTCCATTTGTGTTAATAATTCTTGGAATTGTTGTGTTCTAATGTGATGTTGAATATCTGATTTTGAATATATTCCTATGGATTGTAAGTCTATATTTGGGTTTCGAGCAATAGCGCGAATGCTTTCTGGTGAAAATTTCTTGAGTGATTGCATTAATGTGGGATATGGAGTGAGAAGGTA